TATTTGTTAAAATTTTTATTGTTTCTTTGTTTTTATAGAAATCTTTGAACCAATTCCTTAAACGAAATCTGTTGCTCATTTTTGTGAGACGGTGTGGATGTTGGGGAAACGTGTCTTGAAATTGATCAGAGATCAGCTGCATTTTCTCTATCTCTCCCTGCCTTCACTTGATCACTGTTCTCTCTATCTCTCCCTTCACTTTATCAACGTTCTCTCTATCTCTCTGTACCTTCACTTGCTGTTAACGGACAGATGGTACCAAGAGTCAGATGAAAACATTGACAATAATTAACTTGATGACACCCAGTGATTTTTTCCTACGTGTTGTATCACAATTTGTAATTTATTGAATGGTAGACGTTGGAAGTCTACATGGGCACAGTGGTAGACGTTGTACATGGGCACAGTGGTAGATGTTGGAAGTCTACATGGGCACAGTGGTAGATGTTGGAAGTCTACATGGGCACAGTGGTAGACGTTGGAAGACCACACTTCCTCTACCGAATGACGAGGTCGACTGTCCGTGTCATGTGTGTGACCTGTATGGTGACTGTCCGTGTTTAACTGGACGTATGATCTGACCCAGTGGGTCTTTCGCCCCTGGTGGTGATTGCTGGGTTTTTATGTTAATTAATTATCTGTGATCTTTCTACTTCTTTTTATGGTAATTTGTTATCTGTTACTTTCTACTTCTTTTTATGTTAATTAGTTATCTGTTACTTTCTACTTCAAGTGCTATTTCTGGTCCTTGTGGAAGAGCGACCTTTGAGCGTTATGTGGTCGTGCTACGTCACAACTTGCAGTGTCGTTGACAAACCTCAGCGACCTTTGAGCGTTATGTGGTCGTGCTACGCCACAACTTGCAGTGTCGTTGACAAACCTCTACTGTCTTTGCCTTTGTACGCAGATATTACAACTATCACTCACTTCACTGTATGCCTTTTATGTATTTTCTATATTTTATCTTTTTAAAATGACGGAAAGAAATTGGCTTTTCACGTTCACGGCTTCTGTGCTTTTCCGTATCTTCATAGATCTCAAAGTCTTTCCATATATACTATACAATGTACAAATATTTCCTTTTTTATCTAACAATGTTACATGTACTTTATAAGACCAACCCATTACGCCAGTATTGTGTACTCATCGACCCTTAGCTTCTGTGTTCTCTGAACTAGGTCATATGTGGCTAGGATGCTCTCTGTCTCACAGCTTTTTGTAGATCTCAGTGTCAACTTGGAATGAATTATAATTAGTGCATATATTTTTATGAATAACATTCATTAACTTTCTTTTGTCTTTCAATCTCTTATGAGACAGTGCGAGTGTTAAGTTCTTCTAATTTTTTGTTTCATTTGTCGTATTATGACTTTAGAAATACTTCCCAACAAACTATGCCCACAACCATGTGGCATTTGAAAATGTCTTATCACATTAAAACTTGCTGTCACAAAAATCACATTGTGACATTTAGAGCAATGATCTGTGAGGAAAAGGTTTGTTCATTTAGAGCAATGATCTGTGAGGAAAAGGTTTGTTCATTTAGAGCAATGATCTGTGAGGAAAAGGTTTGTTCATTTAGAGCAATGGTCTGTGAGGAAAAGGTTTGTTCATTTTTCTCCATATTTGTGATAAAAAAGACAATTTTACACCGACAGATGTGTATTTATTTTTTGTCTGGAGAATCAGTAAAATAAATGCTTGAGGCTGTGGTGTGCTTTCAATGCTTTGCCTGCATTCAACTTACGTCTTTTTGTGGACGAAGGTGCGTCTTTTTCTGGACGAAGGTGCTTTTGGAATTTCCAATAATTTGGCGTTTGTCCTTCTGTTATGAGCAAAAGCTTTTTGCATTCCATCGAGAGTTAGGGGAAGGGTGGAATCCAACTGTGTCCTAATGTTTCTGTCAGAGGACGGTGTGGTCCAACTTCAGCTGTTTCTGTTTGGTGCTTTTCACACACACACACACACACATATATATATATA